CATTCAGTAGGTCACATCAGTGACCCACCTAGCTCAGCATTTTTCTGAAGGCAATGGTTAGATGCTATAGACAAGTTCTCAAGCAGAATATGCCCGCACGATCGCTAATCGTCAGCATCTTTCTATCACATGGGTGCTGTGGAAAGCATTCTAGAGAGGGTTGCATCTCAGAATTGTACAGCTGACCCCCATGGCTCAGTCTCTTGGGAAGTGGAAGCCAGTTGCAGTCCTTGAGAGAAATGGAAGTACTCCATCCACTCACATAGCAATGCAGAAAGTACCAGCCTCGCATAAGGATACCCTTGTTCAGGAATAGGAAGCTTTTTTTATACATTGCGTTGGTGCATGCTATCCTTCAATCACAGCTCATATGTCCACCAACTATATAAACTAGGAGAGAGATCTATGATAGCAGCTCTACATTTACAACTGATCATCAATATGCTGCAAGTAAACAAAAGTATATTCTCTAATATTCTCTTCTTACTTCACATTTACTGCTAACTCTTTCTACGGTAAATAACCCTTACTTGGGATTAACACTCGGCAGGTTATTGCACTAGTTATATATTTTTACAACCAGAGGCAAACATCAATACCACAAACTGCTTTGTGGCTCTTTATAGTCTCACATATATTTCAACCACTTACATAAAATAGTGCATAAATGCCAGCACTTCCCAAATCAAGGTATAAATTCCCAAACTTAAATTGACCTCCTACAGTCCACTGTGGTCTTTCCATAATGGAAATATTATTGTAAATAAATATTATAAATAAAAATTCTACAATGAGACTCAAAAAGCTGGGGAGAAAATCAGTAGAAATTTTAAAGGGAAAAATAATCAAAGCCTAACAAACAGCCTAAGCCCTGTGTGATTCTTTGGGCTGCTATAAAGACTTTATTTTCTCTAGTTGGGAAGAGCTGAGCAGTATAACTCACCTTGCCTCTATGACTAATACAGCCATCATATTCTAGCCTACTTAATGATAATAGATTTAAAAATAAAACCTGGTTTCCACCCTTTATAAATAAAATAAAGTTCTTACAGAGATAGCTGTGGTGGCTTCCCCTCTCCTACTCTTATACCGTATTTTGGGGGAATATCTCAGTAACGTTCTTGTGCCATGGTGCTACCTATACATTTAATATGTGGCAATTTCACCTACGTGGAGGGTGTGTAGCTTTCTGCAATGTATTGTGGAGAAGATTTTTTCTAGAGCTTGTCAAAAAAAGGAAGAATGAAAGTGTTGAAAAATTGGACTCTGTGCATTGTAAGATGCTATAGACAATAGACCACTGGCCATAAGAAGCCCCCTGCTGTGGATCAGGCCAAAGCCCAGAACTCTGTTCATGCAATTGCCATCCAGATGCCTTCCTTGGGTGCTCTCCAGCAGCTGCTATTCAGTGGCATGTTGTCTCTGTCCTTGGAAATCCCACGTAGCCATCACTAGCAGCAATAACAGAATCTGCCAAAAAATTCTCTAGTCCCCTTTTAAAACCATTTGAGCCATTCATCACCTCCATGTTTGCACCCTGCAACAATTAACTCCACAAATTAATTATGCACTGCTTGATTCTGTTGCCACTGAGTTTTCAAAATGTGTATTCAACCATTTCAATCAAGTTTTCATTTGATTTTTGTTTACTTTAATCAAAAGGTGAGCTTCTTTGAGTGTCGTTTTCTTGGTAGAAAGATGGGTACACATCAAATACATCACTCAGTGTCTTGGCCATGTCCTGTTTAGTCAGGCCTGATGTGCTCTTGCAGCTGCTACCATGAGCTTTTAAACAGCTTACATGGCACAGGCAGTCAACTCTGAATCCACCCTTATAGAACTCCAATAGAAAAGCCATAATATATAACCAATATGGATTGTAAGACACTGCAAAGGGATCTCTCCAAGCTGCAAGAATGGGCATCAAAATGGCAAATGCAGTTCAGTGTGAGCAAATGTAAAATAATGCATGTTGGGGTCAAAAATCCTCACTTCAAATATAGGCTGGTGTGATCTGAACTAGCTGGAGCCTTCAGGAAAAGGCTCTTGGGCTGTAGGTGACCAGTTTGATGAAAATGTTAGTCCAGTCCACAGTGCCATTTTTAGCACAGTTAGGAAGAGAATATAGAACTACCAAGACTGTACTCCTTTTATACAGATTCTTGGTGCAGTTCTGCTTGCCACACCTAAAAGAAGGACATTATGGAGTTATAAAAAATGCAGAGAAGGACAAGTAAAATGATCGGCTGGTGTTAACACCCCTGTGAGGAGCAGCTACAATAACTAGGGCTGCTTAGCTTAGATAAAAGGCAAGTTAGGGGAGATAACGATAGAGATGTTTAACATTACGCATAGTTTGGAGAGAGTGGAAGAGCAGGCATATTTCTCCTTCTTTCAGAATAGTAGAGCTTGGGGTCATCCCACAAAGCTGATTAGTGGGAGGGTTAGGACAGGTGAAAGAAAGTACTTCTTCACACAATGCAAAGTTGAACTGCGGAATACTCTGGAAGTGGTGATGGCCACCAATGTTGATGGCTTTGAAGGGGGGGGGTAGCAGATTCATGGAGGAGGAGATGGCTACTAGTCTTGCTGGCTAAGTGCCAGTTCCATAACCAGAGCTGGACTTCATGCATACACCAGTTGCTGATGAGCCCAGACAGGAGGTGCTCTCACACCCATCCTGCTTTAGGGTGCCCGAGTACAGCTAGTTTTCTACCGTGTGAATGAAGTGCTGATGGGTCACTGGTCTGGTCCAGCATGGCTTTTTAATGTTATGTTGCTATGTTTTTATGATAAAAAGGTATTTACACTCTTTTGCTTCTGTCCAGTGATGGCAGTCTGTGCACAGCATTAGGTTTTCCCATGCGGATCTTCCCCACTGGATGGAAAGGCATTGTGGGAGGGGAGTCCTTTCCATTCACCTTGGAGAAATCCACAACAATCTGACAGCAGTGATTTGTTGGATGGTGCACCAGGACTTGATAAAAATAGGAAATGTGTAGGAACCCACAAACCTTTACAGTTTTCTTCCGTCTGGTAATAGTACTATGTACTGTGAGTCTTAGAAGGATACAAAAGCCTATTGAAGAAGCTTTGAGAGAAGACCACAGACCTGCTCACCCTGGCCAACAGGTGATTGAGACAACAGGGTGCAACACAGAGCAGAAAGCTTCCTGGCTACGCATCAGGAGTTACCACTGCTCTTGGTATTCTGTCAGGTTTATTGTCACATATTTACAACTACTGTCGAAAATAAGACAGTTTCACTGCTCACATCTGAGGTTTCCCTTGACCTTTGTTAGAATTCAGAACACAAGAAGAAAACTTCCTAGAGGCAAGATTCAGGTTTGTCTGTTGTGTTGCCCTCTGCATCTTCCTCCATAGCTGTCAATTGTCAAAACCAGAGTTGGTCAAAAAACCTTCAGAGCTGCAAATCTTACTCCTGCTCATAGCAAAACCATTTTCCTATTAGCAACAGTTTGTTTGTGGATTTGTTCCCCCCCCCCCCCCATGAGGCTCTCTCAATCTTTCCTTAATTGTAGGCCTCTGTTGGTATTTCTGCTCTGCATTTTCCACCATTTCCCATCCCTGTAATCCTGTCTTTGTGACATCAGAATAGCAATTGTTTGTGACATCACAATGAAGGGATTACTGAGATTAATTGTGAAGGGGAGGTTAGAACTGGAAAGGAAGGAACAGGAACAGAGACCTGCTTTTTTTATGGAAGTTACCTTGCTGCTTGCACCTTCCTTAATGGAAGGAAATCTATTTAAAAAAGTGTTACAAGATCCCCAGTGTCCCATGTGCTCCCTTTGAGTGATAGCTGAAGATGTGAAGAGACTGTATAATGAAGCATTTCAAATCTTATCAATGTTATCAAGTTATCATTTTGTGGTTCTGAAAGTGCAAAGCTGACAATCACACTCAGTTTAGGGTTAGGGTTGGAGTGCTTTGAGACTTCCTCCCAGACGTGGAGCCTCATGATTTTTTCCTTGGTGATTTCGAGGAGGGCAAAACCAAAGGCAGGCTTTGAGGGTCATTTAGAAAGCCCTACAGCCATGCAACACACAATAATTCCCATTTTTATCACTGCTCACAGCTGTCAAAAAAGCTTTGAAATATGCTAGTTATGAGTACCTTTTTTCTATCCAGGTTTTAAAGCTATATTAAAGCTTCATCATTTGGCTTCCGATGGTAGGATAGTATTTTAATTTAAAAATGGGGGGGGGGAAGTCTGGGGGAAATATTTGACCACCCCTGGATCTCAGATGTAAGTCTGCGAGGCCCATATCTGCCCCCTTCCGCCAGCCTTTACCCATCGCTGCATCTTCAGCCAGAGAAAAACAGCACCTGTTGAATTTCTGCCAACTACGCCGTTGTTTCAAGAAATTAGCAAGCGGCGGGGCAGCCCCATAAGGCTAAAGAGAACCTGCAGACTTCGCGTTCTCTTGAAAGCAAACTCCCACCCTCGTGATTTAGCAACGTCGGTATCTTTTACTCCGCGGGGACGGGCAAGGCGAGCACGAGCGAACGAGCCAGCGAGAGCGAGAAACGTCAGTTCTGAGCACGATGAGCGCCGTGCTCCTGAACTTGAGCGGCCCCGCTCTTTGCGCCTCGCCATTGGCAGGCTTCGGGTAAGCGAAAGAGGAAGTGAAGAAGTCCAGAAAGGAGCCGCGGCAAGAAAGCACGCATCCACGGCAAAATCCTCTGCGGGCGGGCGCGTGCAACTCGGGAGCCTCCAGAAGTGCAGGCTTTGCGGCGTGCCCGTGTGCGCGGCTGCCGCTCTCCCTTTCTCCAGTGTGCGCCTGGAGCGGGGAACCGAGCAAGAGGAGGCGTCGGCGGCGGAGGCGGCGCTGTGCATGCTGGGCTCGGATCATGGTGGGGCTTGGCAGTAGGAAGCCAGGCAGGAAGGACTTGAACTAGCGTGCGGCGGCGGCGAGCCCCGCACGAGCCCCGGGAGCGTCGCAGCCGCAGCCGCTGCCGCCGCCGCCGCCGCCGCGGCGGCGTGCAGGGAGCGCCCGGCCGCCTGCAGGGACTGGAGCCGGGGCAAAGGAAGAGGCGAAGTCCCGCGGGCAGAGGCGGGACGGGGCTGTAGGGGAGGCAGAACTGGGGAGGGGGGCGTTTGGGACCGGGCTCTGCATGGCCCCCCCTCCCCAGCGGCTGCTCCTCGCCTCCCCCTTTTGCGGATCTTTCTGAGGAGAAGAAAGGAGGGGAGGAGGAGGAAGGGGGAAGGGACAGGGAATCCCCCTCCCCGCGCTCTTCGCGAGAAGGAGACTCGGCTTCTTTTTGTTTTTGGCTTGTTTGGAGGCGGCTGAGCAGGAAAAGGGGAGCAGAAGACCTCGGCGCCGTCAGCCGCCGCCGCCGCCGCTCCCCCACCCCTTGCTGGGAGATGGTGCCATATGAAGCGCGTTGGAAGGACCATGGTTGAAAGGAACAGCAAGTTCCTGCTGATCGTGGCGGGCTCGGTGTGCTTCATGCTCATCCTATACCAGTATGTGGGGCCGGGGCTGAGCCTGGGCTCGCCGAGCGTGCGCTCGTACCAGGACGAGCTGGACCTCTTCCCCACGCCGGACCCACATTACGTGAAGAAGTACTACTTCCCCGTGCGGGAGCTGGAGCGCCGGCTCGCCTTCGACATGAAGGGCGACGACGTGATCGTCTTCCTGCACATCCAAAAAACGGGCGGCACCACCTTCGGCCGCCACCTGGTGCAGAACGTGCGCCTCGAGGTGCCCTGCGACTGCCGGCCCGGCCAGAAGAAGTGCACCTGCTACCGCCCCAACCGCCGGGAGACCTGGCTCTTCTCGCGCTTCTCCACGGGCTGGAGCTGTGGGCTGCACGCCGACTGGACCGAGCTCACCAACTGCGTGCCCGGCGTGCTGGACAAGCGGGAGAGCGCCGCCGCCAAGCCGCCCAGGTGAGGCGACAAAGGAGGGACGCGCGCCGATGGCTCCCCCGCTCCCTTCTCCCCACCCCACCCCACCCCACCCACCCGCGCGCGGCTAATTATCGTTTGTGCACAGGTGCTTCCTTCCCCCTGTTCTGTCCCCACAATGGCCCTGTCAGGTAGGGTAGCCTAAGCGATCGCGATTGACCCCAGGTGAGCTTCCCGTCTTGGTATGTTTTCTGTACCTGCCTGCGTCATACTTGGATCTCCTGGCTGATTCTCCTTGTCAGTCACTGACTCAGAGCTTGGAACCCGGCCTTTCCCACAGACTGCTTACGCCATTCTCTGTTCAGAGAGTGGGGGACAGTTCACACATGCTTGGCTCTTCTGCGTTCTCCTTGCCCTGGACTTTTCCTTACTGCTGCATTGACTGCATTGCTGCTCCACTTCAGGAGGCTTTTGAAATAGAGTTGCAAGTTGGGTGCATGGGGTGTGATTGCTTTACCACCTGCCAGAATCCACTGGTGTGTTCATTCTGTCGGTATCCTTAACACACCAACTTTGTCCTGCACGTGTGTTCAGATCCCTTCATCACTAGGCTTCTCGTTCGTGCCCTTTGACGGCTGCACAATACACAGACATTCAGCAGGTCATGTATACATCACTGCATGCTGATGCTTGGGTTGGGGACAGAAGGGAGACAACACTGCACCTGGGGAATTTCTGTCTGTTGTGCAGCTGCTAAGTTTCTGACAGGAGTCCAGAGAAGGAATGGTGTCACCCCTAACCACAGCAGTCTATCTTCATACTGTTCTTACTTGAACCTGTTTTGTGCTCCAGCGTACTTTACAATACACATCTCCCTTTATGCCGCAATCTAATACTGGTCTTGCCCTTTTTTATGCTTTCCAGAGTTTGCCTTCTCTAAAGACTTTAATTAGACCTTGAACTGAGTCCCATAACCCATAAATGCTGCCTGCTAGATCTCCTGCCTCCTCTTTTCCTGTTTCCAGGCTAGCTTTACAGAAAAGGACTTCTGCGTAAGTGCAGAGTCCCATTCCCTCCTCTTATCACAGCCAATCTCCACGCATCTGGGAATTTGGGTCCAACTGCATGCATAGTTTTTGGGCAAACCTGAAGCACTGCTGCCCTTCACATTCCCTTTGGTAGGTAGCTCACCCTGTCGAATGCTACGTATGGGGTTTGCATCCTGTCAGCCACAGACCTTCCTCTTGCTCTGCCACCCGTGCCTCACAATCCTGACTCCAAGTTGCTCTTATCCCCTGTGCTGCAATCCACATTTCAGAGGCACAGTGCAACCAGGATGACACTGTAGCCTTGTACTCTGAGCAGGGTTCCCTCTGCTAGGTACCTTTGACAGAGGCTGCACTTTGGCCTCACTTTCATGCCCTTCTGTGCATTGTCTTTGTTGACACTGGATCCTACTTGATAGATTGGATCCTTCCTCTCCCCTAATTTGATTTTCCATCCAGTCTACGGCATGCCTTATTTAAGGAATGCACAGTATTCTTTCCTACATGCCCTTGTCCTGCAGTTGTAGCCATGCCTTTAAATACAGCAACTTTTCTTTTAGATTCTTGTTTTTCAACCTTCCCCTTCCTCATACCATGCTGACATTACCACTTGATTAGTGCATGTCCCCCATCCCTCCTCCTTAGGTGACAGAATTTTACCTTGTTGCAACATGTTTTTCATTCTTGACCTGGTTGTGTGCCCCTTGGCCCAAACGTGTGCTTGCATCCAGTCCCTTCATGCTGCAAGCACACACATTCTGGTTTGCTTGTGAATGCCATTTCACTTACCCGAATTGGTGCAGTTATAAAAGAGACAGCCATTCCTCACCCATTTGGAAACCAGGGAAATTATCCTCAGGCATGCTTCCCAGCACACTTGCCTCCTCTGTCTTGCTTCCAGGTCTTATATCCTAACTTTAAGAGAAAAGTGGCCCTTTTGTGTCTGTGTATTCCTTGGTCTTTCCTGTCAGTTAGGTCAGTCCTCAGGACTGTTGTATTTCTTGATATCATCAGAAATGCTCCTAATACCTTTCTTCCTAATTTCTATACCTTGGAGTGGTATTCAGTGAGCTATTGTTCAGTCCATGTCCTACCTAAGGTCTTTAAATCATTCATCATTGCTCCCCTTTAGAGCCTTTTGTTCCAAAGTTTAGCTCTCATAGCGCCACAGGATTTTATGTTCACATTTATTAATGCCATGTGCTGTGCATGTATATTGTTAATATCCTTTTATAATCCTTCCAGTCAGCCTTGGGAGACAGAGCAGGGGTCTATTTTTCTTATCTCTGCCGGTATGCTGATTTCTCTCTCTCTTTGACCTCTTTCATTTAGACTTCAGCATGCAGTGCTGCATGCAGTTATTAATTAAATTTATTGATTCTTCTGTTGTTGCTATCTTTTCAACCCATCTTGGTGAATATCAGCATTAATCACTCTAAGGTTGTCCTATGCTTTGTTGTTTATGGAGGCTGACTCAAGAGTATCAAACTAGGGAACTTACCCGAAGTCTCCCCAGGTTTCCTTTTTATAAAAACAGACATGCACAAACATTTGCAAAAACTGTCCTTCATGTTGACTGTATTAAATTTAAGTGTAATATAGGAAAATATCTCATATATGTGCTGGCTGCTCATATTATTGGGGCTTTTGTCTTACAGAGAAAAACAATTAAACGTTGACTCCTAGCTAGAAAATCATTAACCTTGCCTAAGGACCAGTGTGTGGATCTAGCACCATGTCTTCTTCCCTTGAATAAAATTGACATGTGGATCTTGGAATGGTTTTCTTTTTTATTGGAGCAGGGAAAAATTGGGGCAGCAAGAACATAGAGTAAGGTTTTTTTATGTGTTTGCTGGGTTAGCAAAGACCACTAAATTATGTGCTTTGGCTAAGTAATCCTAGAGGCTTCAGAAATGCTTTGTCAGGCTGTGCTTATGATGACCCTTAAAGCTGAAGGAATTGAGTATTGTGGCTTTACCATGAACATTGGCCTGGGGTTTCCATTTCTCTGGCATCTAATAATGTCACTGGGCAACTATTATTTTACAATCAGATCTGATTCATTTCAGTGGTGTGTATGCATTGTACCCTAAGCTAATGCATTGTAAGCAATTACGGCATAGAGGCTCCCAGTATGCTCAGTTTGGGCTTATCTTTTTTATTTGTTGCCTGATGATGCCTTGCTCAGGTTGAAGGAGGCCTTGATGTTCAGCCATGACAGGATCTGGGGTGATGTGGAGTGTCAGCGGTCTGCTGTTCATGACCTTGCCCTTTCAAAATGCAGTGTTCTGGCCACTCATTAACTCTGTACTGGGGGATGTTTTTGATAGTGATAAACATAAGCTGCTGCCTGACTCTGTAATATTGTCCTATCACATAGGCCTATTGTGCTGCGGTCCATTTCAGCATGTCCACAGAAAGATAACATTTCTCCTGCTTGTAATGAAATCTGGCTTCATAAACAAGCACAGTTTATGTAGAACCACTGGTGGAGCGAATTTCCTTTGTTGGGGATAGAGAAGGGATTCATTCTTGCATTATTTCCACTACAGTGGTGACTGTATCACTTCATTTCCCCCCTCTGAATAATGTATCTAGGGTAATGGAACAGCCTATGCTTTTCAAGTCTGGCACACATTACAGAGCCTGCTGAGAGAAGGAAAATTCATTGGGTGATACCTTTTGTTGAACCAGCATCTGTTGTTGAAATATATGCAAGACTTTGAGAGTCACTGCCCTCTTGAAATCTGGGCTTTCTGAACATTTTTATTGAAAGAGCAGCCAATAAGAATGTTACTGCACATGTACTTGGAGAATCTTCACCTGAAACCCTTACACATCATATCAGAAGGGAACTCCCATTCAGTGGCCCTTACTTCAGAATAAACATATCATAGGAGCAGGATATTAGTTGTTTAACAATGCAATATCCCATACATGTCTACCCAGATATATATCCTGTTGAGTTCAATAGGACTGCACTTTTTTCCAAGTGCAACTAGTAGGCTTACCATTTTTAATTGATGTAGCAGTCTCTTCCATTCCATGATTTGCTACTCATTAATGTCCTCTTTCAAATGATTGCATCAGAGCTGTGAGTGTATGAAAGCCATATTTTGTTCAGGGGAAAAGTGCTTGAGTTTTTCTAATGCACACTGTCAGTGTCTTACAGGCATTCTTGAAGGTCATTCAGCAGTGCTCATAAATACATACAAATCATGAGCTAGAAGATTGTTAACCGTGTAAATGGTGCTGTTTTAGCATTGCTAACTGCATTCTTGCACTACATCCTGTAACCTGTGCATAACACATGCGCTCAGGATGAAGTGACCATTCTTATTTCCCTGTTCTAAGTGGGTCTCCATACTCTCAGGACCATTTTCACAACGGCCACTTAAGCTGCTTCTTGTCTTTCCTAATGTCTCTGTAATGGCAGCATACAGCCCTCATAGTTGCATGCAATGATTTCGTAGTCTGGATGAAGTGCACAAACCTTGTTATTAGCTAAATACTCAGCTAAAATCTTTTTATGGATTACAGTGAAAAGCCCACAACTCTTCTTTGGCCCAGGCCCATCTGAAAATGGGTAGCAATGCTGGGGTGGGGGCAGGAAGAATGATTGAATCTACACTTCCTATATGATTCTTTTCCCCATAGGTCTAACATGCTAATGTCAATTTGCACGTGAATGGAACTGCCTCACAGGGGCAACAAAGCATTTTATTATATGACGTGGAAAAGAGGAAAAGGTGTTCTCAAACTCCAGTGAGATGGCAGATGGGGGCAGGGGCTGTGATAATTGTTGATTATTCAAGAAGACAAGGAATTAACATCACAGTCCTGGGCATGTCTCTTTGAAATAAGTCTCTTTGTCCAGTGGGACTTATTCCCAGGTAAGTGTGTGTAGGATTGAAGCTTAATATAGTCATCATCTTCTGCTGTATACAAGAGTAGGCCAATGCCCCATGTTTCTGGAGGGCCAAACCTGGATTGTGC